AACGTCTCGCTTACCAGCAGAAATTTCTGGCTCAATTGTGCTCTTAAGTCGAGGATTAGCTATACTGCTTTCCATACCCAGCCTTGCCTATTTCTACCAGAAAAGTATTAGTTTGGAGTGAGCTGGCAGTAGATAACGCCATGAAATGCCTTAGGAATATTTCTCTAGAATGAATCATGAGCTTTAGTCAACCTCATCGGGTTGAGAGCAATTAATTCAATGACGATCGCTGATCTCACGCAAAACCTAATTACAGTTTCATTTTGTCTCCTCTCCAGAGTCAACTTGGAATTCGACCTTCAAAAACAAATGTCAGGAGAAGGGTAAACAATTTCATTTTTTTTAAGTGCATTTTTCTTTCAAGTCACCGCAACAATCTCAATGGATGGTGTTTTTTTTTTCAAGTATGTTTGGCTTTGTGGTTTAAATCATTGATTTACACCACAAAGAAGAAGAAAGAAAAAGAAATCGTTTCTGCACTGATCTTCCTCTGTCCTAAGTAAATAAACTCGGGAATAAGCCTCACAGCTTCCAATTTAACAAAAATAATTGGTTAAGCTTTAAATATTCACAATCAAATCTGGCCTTTAAATACAATCTGTTGGACGCATTTTTGGAGATAAAATGACATTATTAGTGGTACATGGTTATGGCAGCTGAATTCTATTTAATCAGATATCTAGAAGGATCCAAAAAGTCAAAATGACAATTGCAGTAGCAGCAGGATCAAACCCCCACCCTACCTCCCTTTGTATGTGTGAACACGACTACCAGTATCTATTTTCTCCAGGTCTCCTCTCAGTCGTTTTCAAAAATTATCATTTTAATCTAATATATCAAAAATGTTTAATCACATTACAAAATATACGGAGTCTTCCGAATGAAGGCGAATATCTATGTCCCAGATTGCAAGATCCAGTCTGGGTTGGACACTGGGACTAAAGGTTTTTTCTTCCAAGCTTTCGGACCAGTGGTGGGATTCAAAAATTTTTACTACCGGTTCTGTGGGTGTAACGTGGCTTGGTGGACGTGGCTTGGTGGGTGTGGCAGGGGGATGATATACTGTAAAATCCCCCTTCCCTCCCCACCCACTAACCTGCTTTCCAGCTCCGTTCTCCTGTGCAGGGCAACCAAAGAAGACCCAGCCAATCAGCTGGGACTCAAGAGGCAGAGAATAGATGGGGGGCGGGGCCAGTCAGAGGCAGGATTTGCCGGTTCTCTGAACTACTCAAAATTTCCGCTATCGGTTCTCCAGAACTGGTCAGAACCAGCTGAATGCCACCTCTGTTTGGGACTCACGTACGAGGACAAATCGTGCATTGCAAAGGTCGCTCAGAGATGGGCGATACTTCTAATCTAATCCACCGGATCCCCTGAGTGGATTGCCCCCATGAGCATTGTTAGGGATACACCCTAGCAAGATCTGCAGGGCAGTCAGGCAAAATACGTGAGATAAACGTTGTTTGTAGCTTACACTCAGTAAACCAGATACACAGTGCCAATTAAATAGTTTTATTCCAGCAAGAGTTAAAGCATAGTCAAAACAGTCCATATATCATTCACTTAGTTCAGTCCGTCCAGGGATTATTCATTTGCAAATTCCAGTGTCGAAAAAGAGAGGTCAGTACACTTACAAATATCAGTCCGGTGATATATCTCCTCGCAGTAGAGAGATATGAAGAACTCAAAAAACTCCTCTCTTCCTGCAAAGACACAGCTAACGAACCATCAATGTAATCCAATCCAGTAATTGTCAGTAATTGCCAGGGAATCGTCAGCGTCTCGTCAGCAATCAATCAGGTTGTCTTGCTCCCTCTTATGGTGGTTTCACACCACACCCAAAATACATGCTTTACAGTTTTAAAGTGACACACACTTAAACTAACAATCATAGCTTATATATATTATTTTACCCAAACTACGTTAGGTGACCTATGTTATACCTAAGAAGTATGTAGGACCGACGGGGAGGAAGCGAACCACCAGATTCCAAGAACACAAGCGAGCAGTTAGACAAGGAGACCTTGCAACAAACAAGGTTGCAAATTCAATTTCGCAGCTATTAAGATTGTTGGCCGAGCAGGGACAAAAATTGCCAGGGAAATTGTTGAAGTCTGGGAAACGGGCCTCTCGTCAGTCAACCAGGATTGCTGGTTTGCCACTTATCAGCAACTTAGAAGCCAAGGGCTTGGCAGCACAAGGAAACAACGGCCAATGACTTAATAACCAGCTACCAACACCCCAATCAACAACAAAAAAACCACACACAACCAGGCACTATACCATGCACAGAGTAGCCCAAAACACATGCTGTGATAAAGAAATTGATCACAGCACGAGTCCGAAAACTGGGAAGACTAAACCTTGGTCTTATGACTTTGATTGGAAACTTTGGAGTCTTCGTTCAATATTTTTTTTTTAATTTTAAATACAAATAATGCAAACATAGTACACATACATCTAAATACAAAAAAAAAAGAGAAACAAAATCCCCGGATACCATTTTTCCCCCCTTATATTTCTTCTTCTATAACAATTAAAAGACATACAATATATTCCAATTATGCCCTTATCCTCTCCAAAGCAACATATATTCTTGAGTAGGTTTATTCCTTTTGCCTTCCACTAACACTGTTTTTATAAAATCCCCTCTATTTCATTATAATTGTTTGCTTTTAATCATCCGTTTTTTAAATTTAATTTCTGTTAATTTATCATTTGTTGCCATACTCCAAATTTCATTATAACACTCATTCCTTTGAATATCCCAATTTCATCCCCAATATTTAGCCATCCCTAATCTAATTCCCATTATCAAATCAATTTGATTTACACTCAGTTCTTTTTTTGTTTCATTTATATCCTGTTTTCCCACCACCACCAGTAATGCAATTCTCGGTGACATATCTAAATTTACGTTCAGTTATCCTTCCGTAACACAAGAACTCTTCCATTCACCTGTGGATTTCAATTGATAGAAGCAAAACATATAGACCCATTTTTCTCCTTCAAAATATTTTCCTTTGGTATAACTGCTGGACAGATTATTGATTACTTACGACAGTTCACTATGATTTGCAGTTACCAAAAATTAACAAATTACTCTCAGAGTAGTAATGGGGGACTTTAACTACAGTGACCTCAATTGGGAGACAAACTCTGGATCAGTTGGGACTTGGAATAACTTTATGGTCACTTTGAATGTACACTAATCGGCATACATTAAAATGAAACATCGCTGCATACAGCTAGCTCCCAAAGGGTCACCATCTTCATCATACACTAAAATAAATAAATAAATAAATAAACAAAATAAATAAGTAAATAAGCATGTAAAAAACAGTTGCTTGAATTGGGTCTCTCTAATTTAATGAAAAGAAGGACTAAGGGAGACATGATAGCCATCTTCCAATAATTGAAGGCCAAGAGAAGAGGGCGGGGGGTGTCAAGGTATTCTCCAAAGCAGGGGTCCCCAACTACCATGCCGGGGACCGGTACCAGTCCGTGGAACATTTCCTACCGGGCCGCCGGTTTGCTGGGCACCGCCATCTTGTTTGACGAGAAAGTGCTTCCGGGTGAGCTTTTCCGGTTGGAAAGCAGTGTTGGGGTCCTGAAGGAATCCGCGCGCCTTAGTTTTATCGAAGGGGGGGGCTTTGAATGAAACTAAGGCGCGAGGATTCTTTCAGCACCCAAGGCAAGGCGAGCCGAGCGACCGTCCCGAAGCCGTCCCAAAGCGAAGCCCATCGACAAAGGTACAAAGGAGGAGTTGAAGGTGGCGGGGAGAAGCGGGGGACGGCTGGCTGGCCGGTCGCTCGGCTCGCCTTGCCTTGTCATGCGTGCTGATGCTGGTACCGGGCCACGGATCATTTTGTGATGCCCGTACCGGGCCGTGGCACAAAAAAGGTTGGGGACCACTGCTCCAAAGCACCAGAAGGACAGGACAAGAAGCAACGGATGGAAACTAACCAAGCAAAGAAGCAACCTAGAACTAAGGAGAAACTTCTGGACAGTGAGGACAATTCATCTGTCATGCCCCTGTTGGAGTCTGACTCTGAGGGAGAGGAGGAACAGTCGACAGGGAGTGGGAGTGGGCCTCCGGAGGTTGTGGAGGAAACTGGGGAAGGACACAGGCCGGATGGGCATTCAGAGGAAGACCCAGGCGGATAAGGAAGAAACGTGAATGGCGTGGTCTGTGGGGGAGGAAAGGGCCTTGATCCCCTTCATGGGCTGCAGCTGCGAGGACTGTTTAAAAGGACAAACTGCACATGGCAAAGTTGCTGGAAGCAAAGCGTGGAAATAATTCTAGTCTATCGGTTCTTATCTGAGTTCTTGCCTCCTTCCCAATGTGTGTATTTTGATATCTGTGGATGTCTTCAAGCCCTTATCCTGCCTTGTCTCATTAATTGCTTCAGTGTGGTTTGTGCTGTTTCTTTTGTTTTCATATTTATAATTTATATCTATTTTGAGTTTGAGTGGAATTTCTTCCTTTTTGCAACTGTTTGTGGGGGAGTTTTCTTTTTCTCTAGTCAATGATAATTGGAGCTTTGAAGCCAAGTTGAAGGAATTAAAGGGACTTCACCTGTTTTCGTGACTTTGTCGCTTTTTGTATCCTACCCTGGGTCATCACATAATCGGTGGAACTACTTGCCTCAAGAAGTTGTGGGTGCTTCAACGTTGGAAGCTTTTAAGAAAAGATTGGACTGGCTTTATCTGAAATGATACAGGGTAATGATCCTGCTTAGGCAGGGAGTTGGACCTCTATCACTGATAATGTTAGCTAGTTGGGTCATGAAAGGTCTGCAAGAAAGCAACCCAGCTCAGGGAGCACCAAGGAACCCACAGTTCAACCCTGAGCTCTAAATATTCTCTTCGGTTGACGTGATCCAAGAAGCCTGCCTTCCAATGCATGTTAACTCTTACAAAGCGGCCAAGCTTTTTGACACTTAAAGTCTTCTCCGTAAAACCTGATCTAGAACTCACAATCTGGTCCAAAATCACCCAGCTGGCTTTCATAGAATAGAATAGAGCTGGAAGGAACCTTGGAGGTCTTCTAGTCTAACCTCCTCCAGCAGGAGACCCTGTACCATTTCATACAAGTGGTTGTCCAATCTCTTCTTGAAACCTCCAGTGACGAAGGCAAGCTGTTCCTCTGGATAATTGTCCTCCCTGTTAGGAAGTTTCTCCTTAGTTCTTGGTTGCTTCTCTCCTTGATTAGTTTCCATCCATGGTTTCTTGCCTTCAGGGGGTTTGGAGAATAAATTGACCCCCCTCTTCTTTGGGGCAGCCCCTCAAACACTGGAATACTGCTCCTATGTTACCCCTA